AGGGAAAGAATTGTTGGGAGACAAACAAAGTCAAAAGCCTTTTGGGTGATGTCCAAAAGCAAAATCGTGAGCGTTTATACCTAAAGCGGATAATATCTTACCATTGTGGAGATGTGCATGTGTGGTCACCCTTGACACACAACAAGTGGTATCAGAGATGATAGTTTGACCAAGTGATTAGTGACTGACTTAGACGAGTATTAGTTAATAAAATTAACAGTGGATGAATTCGAGAGTGGGATCCTAAACAATGGAATTGATAGGAGATCCAAGAATAGAACCATCCCTTATACTAAAAGTCTCCCTAGAGGTGTGGAGGACGTGTCACTGATGTGCAATGATAGTGCAAGTAAAGATATCATTGAATACTCGTGGACGAAAAAAAAAAATTTTCGCTTAAGGGGCAGCCTGATCATGTATTAATTATTGATTATCCATCAAAATATATTATGTTCTTTGTTACTTGTGTGCATATTAGGAGTGACAAAAGAATCTATTTATCCATCATTCATCTGATCTACCAATTTCATGTATTTTAATAAAATTAATTAATAGAGCAAATTAAATCTATCTATTTAATTTTATGGAGGGTTAATGGCCAACCTACTATTTTTTTAAAATCTATTGAATTACGATATGAAATATTTAGTGTATTAAAATTTTAAAATATTATTTTGACATTAAAAAAAGTTGTGAATTTTAAAAGACTATATAAGAATGTAATGATTTATAAAGAGAAAATAAACAAAAAAAAATCATTTTTCAAAAAAATTACAAACATTAATATTTCATTGATGGATTAGATATTCTTACACCAAAAAATTTTTAATAGATGAATTGAATTTTTAAGTTATTTATCCATTTTCTCACCTTTAACACATTAAGAGTTGGATCTTGCTTAGTGTTAATTTAGGGTTCATTCTATATGGCTCTTAGCATAGCATGAAGGCTCTTACGCTTAGCCAAAATTCTTGATGCTCTTTGTAACTACCGGGTTAAGTATCACCTCTCTTGCACTTAACATCAAATAGCTTTCAAGAATCACATACATACAATTCAACATTTTTCTAGTGTTTTTAAATTACTTCAAGGTCAATTCTTTGTCCTTTGAATGAGTTTTTTCATTAAAAACATTTTTTATCTTAAAATTAGTTTCAAGTTTTTCCAAATTATTACTATAAATCTTAAGTCGAATCTTCGTTGAGTCTCTTTTTAGCTTTGCCTTTTGTTTATATTTATCAGTTAGATTGATTTTCATTAAGATTTAGTTGACTATGTCTTTATCAAAACTTCGTGAGAATGACATGTCTCATATTTGATATTCAAAACAATGAGGGTTAAGTATAATGAAATGTGGTGAACTATAGTTTAAATCTCTACCGGAAGCGATGTTCATATTTAATGTGGGATCATATCCCAAATAGAATTGTTCCATCATATCCTAAATAGATTTGTTTATGAAGAAAAATGTAAGTAGAAAACCAATAATGTAAAAAGAGAAAGTATTATAATTTTTTAATTGAAAATCTAAAAATAGTAAGAATTTCAAAATTAATGTGGAAGAAAATATGCACAAATGTTTTGATGATGTCAAAGTGATTATAAAGCATTGAAGAAGACTCAAGGTTGAGTCAAAGCAAGTTGATGCAAGAAAAAGATCTCAAGTGTTACATAGATAAGTCTTGTCAACTTAGTTAAGAATGTAAAAGAATCTTTTAGAATTGTAAGTATGCTTGGCCTTGAGAATAAGTTTTCAAAAGTCACAAATTAATCTCTTTAAATTTAAGCAAGTTTTAAATCTTTTGAAAGTAAGTAAAAATGTTTTCAAAAGACTTAACAAAAGCTTTAAAGAATAGTTCAAATCATTTCTTAAAAGAGATTTGTG